AGTGCTATGTAAAAGAGATGCCTCATGACATATTAAAGAGATATCGCATTGGGCTGCTAACCACAAAATCAGCATTTGGAAACCACCAGCTGCTCCTTGGGAGAAAGATGAGGCTTTCTAATCCCATAAAAAGTTTTGGATGCCGCCTCATAGCAACCCTATAGGACAGGGTAGAACTGGCCCCGTGAGTTTCCGAGACTGTAACTGTTTGCCGGAGTTGAAAGCCCCATCTTAATCAGACATGCTAGAATACTCCGTGGAAGCAGCAGTCAGGACAGCAAATGATGCATTGCATTGGATAAATCTTTATGACTAGACTATGTATTTTCCACCCAAGGATTTTATTTATTAACTGTATTTCATGCCCTTTTGCTATACATCTTTATTCAGAATAAATAAATACTTATTCAGAAATTTAGTTTCTGATATTGAATACTGTTCCCAGTTTTGTGGGGGAAGGGATAGGGAGATAGGTGATACTTCTTAAAATTGAAAGAAGGAAAAGGTAAATATGAAGATACATACCGTAGGTTTTCCACTATTACATCCTTAATAATGTAATAAACAACAAGGGGACTTCAAAGAGTTCTTGGAAAAATCCCATCATGTTTTCATCCCAATTTTAATGAACTTTGTGAAGCCCTTGTACTGTTCACATAACATGGCACCTAATACCCAACTTGCACTTGCTAGTCAGCTCTACAGGCTTAGTGAGGGCCTTGGGTGTGTGTGCAGCAGGGTATTTTCTGATGCAGGCAGTAAGCACATCTTTTGTTTGTTGTTGGTATTGTGTGCTGTTGAGTCAGTTCTGCCTTTTGGGTCTTCCAAAGCTGTACTCTTTACCAGGTCTTTTCCCCCACTGAGCTGGGGTAAGTTTGAATTGCCAACAATTTGGTTAGCAGCAGAGTGCTTAACCACTGCAATACCAGGGCTGCTTGTATTGTTTATAGTAGAATTGACTACATGTCCTGTGGTGTTTATTGACCTATCCCGGCCATTCTAAACTGTCAGTTGATAAAATATTTGCCACTACTACCAACATTTTAAGGCTCAGTCCAGGAGCCCAAGATAAGAAGAAACCTGAACATAAGTTGCACAGTATGGAAATTTATGGAAAAATTGGTGTCTAATCCATCTCCTCCCAAATTTGCATTCAAACCCTTTTTTTGTTGATAAAACAATAAAAGGATAGATCGCAATTTGTTAGCTGCCTTTGAGTTGGCTCCCAGTTTTGGTGACCCCTGTGGGAACAAGATGAAACACTAAGTTCTCTGCCATTCCTGCCATCAATTGCAAGTATGATGATTGTGACACATCATCAGTAACTGTTTTCATAACCGGTCACTATTTTTGAAAGTAGTCCTTCAGACCTTCCTTATAGCGCATCTGTAAGGGCTGCCGAAACCTACTGAGCACTACAGCAGCACATTTAAGCCTCCACTGATAGAAAGGATGGTGGTTCCACCTTGGTCTGAAATCTAACTGGGCTCTCCCACATAGATGGCCAGAATTTCACTGCTGAACTATCAGTGCCTCATATAGGCAAGCAGTAGAGGGTACATAAACAATATTGTTTCCTTGGCTCATACATATCCTGCAAGTGAGGTTAGCTGCATAATGTGGGCCTAACAGAAAGGAACTCAAGAAGTTGGTTTCTTAGAAGGGGTGTAGGGAGTCCAGGGGACACAAAAATCAGAGGAAGTACAATCGGGCATCCTAGAAGCTAAATCTTTAGTCAACAGCTCTCTGGGTGGGCTCTGGAGTTCTCCCTAGAGTCCTGCTTTTGATTGAGCATATTTGGATGCTAATAATATGTTTTAAAGATTGGGTTTGCTTTGTTTATTAAACCTCCTGTGCCAGTGGTAAGAGCCCCCTCCAGATGGTTCAGTGGGTACCAGTCATTTTTTTCTTGAAAGCTTAGTTCTTTGCATGTCATAAGCTTGAATTAATCTCTGTTCTTTGAATCTAATGTCTGTCTAGTACTGTCTACCACCTTGTGGAGAAGTTTGCGACTAAGAAGACAGTAAAAGTTTCTGGAGAGGGAGTAGACTTTTCAAAGTTGTATTAACATACTTACGAAGGATCAATGCATAATATGTAGATGCTAGTCTATTGTATCATTTATTACTATAAAAATCAATTATAAAAATTGATTGAAATGTATCCAAACATGCACACAGTATTTACTGATTTGCATGACAATTGACAGTAGGAAGAAATGCAAACAAAGATGCTATATTATTATATCATAATGAGAAAATAATTAATGGAGGACCTACTATACTGCTATAATAATTTTATAGCCACCACCTCTTGCTGTCATGAGTTCAAGTGTTCCCAATATCCAAGTGAAAGTGATCATCTCCATGTGACCAGTTTACCTCTCCAATGAATTATATCACACACAAAAAATGATCGCAAGGTCTTCATGTGTTTTTTATCATGTTTACCGCAATTCAATAAACATTGAATAACACCACTGACCCATATGAAGTACCTCTAGTGATGCTGAAAGTGCTCCCAAGAAGCAAAATCATGACAGTACAAAAGGAAATCTTTTTAAAAAATTTTTTTATTGTACTGGGGGTTCTTACAGCTAAGAAGAAATCTTAATTGCTTGATATGACCCCTAGATGGGGACCTGCAGCTGCATACAATTGAAAGATAAATTAATCCATTGTAGGGACCTTTTTAAAAAAAATAAGTTTATGAAGCTCTTGTTGCTGTTGGGCCATTTTATCTCATATATAAAATGCAGCTTTTATTTGGGTACAGGATTGCTATGAGAAAGGCATACCTGTCGATGCTGATGTGATTTGAGAAAAGCCAGGTCATTACATGACAGCTTAAAGCAAAAGGAAGGCAAGGGTCTTAAGATGGAAAATTTAATGCCAGCAAAGTGTGGTTTGATACTTTTAGAAAGAGGTTTGACATGTAAAATGTCAAGCTAAGAGAAGTAGCTTCTGTTGACCAGGAGGCAGCAGATGAGTTCCTAGCTGCCATTAACAAGCAAGCAAAACCTGGAGGGTTAAAGATCTGCCTGAATAGGTTTATAAAACCCACAAAAGCGCCCTGTTCTGGTGAAGAAAATGCAGCAAGGGACGTTGATTAGTAAAGAGGAGAAGGAAACTACCAGGGTTTCAGATAGGAAGGGTAGGCTAACTGGCGTGTTGTGCAGTGCAGTCCATGTGTATAATCCAGACTGCCCTTATCTATAAAGCTATTAATCCCAAAACTTGAAGGAAAAGATACATACACACCAGCTGCCTGCCAATCTATTGATGCACAGGAAAGGCCTGGGTTATAAGAACCCCTTTTCTGGGTTAGTTACATCTATGCTTTGTCACTGAGTCCATAAGTACCTTGACAGGAAGGGTCTGCATTTTAATGTTCCTTTGATATTGGATAGTGCTCCTGGCTACCCAGAACCCATGAGTTCTACTAGACTAGGGATGACAAAGTAGTCTAAGCACAGGGCCTCTAAAGACCTTTAGGGCTCATTCCTCATAGTACTCTGTGTCAGTGCTAAGGGAGGGAGCCACAAAATCTGGAAGGACCACCCCATGGACAGTGACGACAAGCCCCAAACCATAAATTCATGCTAGAGAAAATTGTCTTGACAGTTTGCATGATTCACAGGATTTATAACAGAGCCCATCAAGAAAATCATGAGAGAGATTGTGAATGTGAACAAAAAGGGTGACGTGTGTCAAGATCTTGGCTAAGTTCAAGACTTAGTCGACACTCAATCAGGGCTTTAACAGATAAGGACTTGTGTAGATGAGTGCTTCCAAACCAGTGCCAGAAAACAAATTGGCATTAAGAGAATGTGGCAGCAGAGTCCCACTGATTGAAGACTGCTTTTGGACTTCTTTTACAACATGGACCCTTCTGGGACACAGGCATTGAGACTAAAGCAAATAAAGAAGGAATGATACCATATGGAAACGTTTTTTAGAGAAATGAAAAAGCAAAAACGTCAGGCAGATATGGAAATGTATTTGAGTAAAGTTAATAAGCTGCCTGCCTTTCCTGCCTTACCTTCTCACCTTCAACCTCCTAAGCACGAAGATGGTTTAACTTTTGAACAAACAGTATAAACTTAGATAGTATCGATAAATACAGCCCAATACTGTAAGTGTGTTTTCCTTACGATTGTCTTAACATTTCCTTTACCTTACTTTATTAACTTGTAAGAATACGCTACATAATACATAAATCATTATGTTTATTAATCAGCTGTTATTGGCAAGGCATCTGGCCCAAAGCTAACATGTCTATTTCTGACTACACAGAATTGGTACCCACATCCCTGCCCACCACGTTATTCACGGAAACTTACTCGTCTCCCCATGTTATGCTTCATTTCTCGTGTTCACCTCCATAAGTACCTGTGACTATATAATATATACAAAATAAGTGGGAAAGCATTCGAATATAAAACAATTGCAACTGTTTTTGACCAGGGATAATATTTCCTGTGATGGAATCCTTTAGCAATTCAGTTTGTCACAGCTCAGATTTATTGGCATATAATTTACATAGCACACAATTAAGTAGTCAGTCATTAAATACAGTTTTTATTATACTTGTTAGTAAGCTGGAGGAAAGCACTATTTCTTTAATAAAGAAATCTGTGAGGTGTAGATTATATAGGGGTTTATGTTTAAATGTATAAGCTAAATTTTATATTTCAAGTTCATCTATATGAGATTTGAATTTCAAGTTGGTCAGATAAACTTTTGAAAAAATCTTAGTGAGCAAATTGGAGGTATCTATCTAGGTAGTCTTAATATGATAGTTAATGCTCTCTTTAATTTTTTATGCTTAAGTTTATATATATATATTTTAAAATCATTTTATTAGGGGCTCATACAACTCTTATCACAATCCATACATACATCAATTGTATAAAGCACATTTGTACATTCATCACCCAAGTTTATATTTGTAATGCATGGATTTTTTTTTTAATTACCAATAATCCTCTGATTATTTAGCAGGTAACATCTAAAGGAACTGGTTTAAATCCCAATGCCAAAGTATGGCAAGAAATTCCTTCTGGAAATGCTGATGCCGCTCCAGGAACTCATGGAACGGAGAGCTCTTGGCATGAAACAGCAGCCACGGCTGGCTCTCGTCCTGAGGGTGAGTTCTAAATAGTTCATCAGAATAAGTCACATTTCAGTTAAATGCGTGGATAAACAACTTTATAGAGCTTTGGAATACAGTCTTTGATGAGTAGTGGAATAACCAGTATAAATTGTATGTGAATTATATGTAAGCATTTATAGATGTTGATATGTAATTCATATACAATTCTCATTTGTACCTAACATGATTTGACACTGATTTCTTTAGTGTCTAGCAACAAATCGTTGATTTACATGGTCTTGTAGGTGATTGTTGATCTACCCTTATGGACTCTTGCTGATTACACATTGGTGCTGACCTAGGGCAGGGCTGTCAAACTGGCAGCCCACAGGCCGCATGCATCCTCCGAGGTAACTTTTTGTGGCCCGCGATGCTCTGAAATAAAATGAGAATAGAAAAAAAAATATTAAGAAGAAGCTAACGCTTAGGGGACATCGAGGCAATACTTATTGTACACACAATTCCCTCACTACATTTTATTTCAGAGCATCATGGGCCAAAAAAAATTACTCTGGGGGCCGCCAGTTTGACACCCCTGACCTAAGGCAAATTAATTAAACTTCTTGGTGCTTGTTACTTCATCTGTAAAGTAGAAAAGACAGTAATTACCCACCTTGCACAATTTCCTAAAATTAAGAGGATAGAGTGTGTAGAGCATCCCCATACTTGGTGCTGTGTTAGTTTAGCTATGGTGCTCCAGGCTTATCTCTAGAAGATAAGTCCTTAAAAAAAAAAAAAAGAAAAGTCCATGTACATACTTTGTCAACAGGTAGAATTCCTTAAAATCTTATTAGAGAAGACATACTATCCTTCCCAGAGTTACTGCACATAAGATTTAAAGAACTTCTATTTTATATATTTATATATATACATATATATTTTTATATACAGGCAATTCAGAGCTTTCAGATGATATGAATAAGGAATATGAAGTAATGTATTCTTCATCTTGTGAAACTACAAGAAACACTGCTTGCATTGAAGAATCGACTGATGGAATGATTTTAGGACCAGAAGATCTGAATTACCAAATATATGATGTTTCCGGTAAACTCTAATGGTTTTATTGGTAAAATGAGAAATCAGTATTCTAGTCTCCCTTCCTCAAGTCTCTGTATCATTGCACTGATCCAAATTACCAAGTTCTTTTAGGTACTCAATTGGTTTTTTTACTTAAAAAGAAGCTTTTTAATACAAAATGATTGTTATAAATACTATTTTTCAGTGCCCATCCATGGGATTTATAATTTAAGAAGAATGTTTATTTTAAAGAGGATATTAACAGAAAGCGTGACATTAAAGATAAGGGGGGGCAATCATAATGGATGAGAGACCTAATTTATTTATAAATGTGAAATTGCAAGTAATAATTTTAAGGAAAAGGCTATATTGAAATAATGAATTCGATACTTCAACTTGTGAACTGTATCAGTACTTAATTAGCAGCCACATAGTTTTGAAGTGGATGACATTTAAATGAAAGTAACTTAAATATCACCACACCAGTACACTTCACTGCCACAGTTGATTGTGACTCAACTCATGATGACCCTATAGGGCAGGGTAGAACTGCCCCTGTGGGTTTCCAAGACTACCTCTTTACAGGGGCAGAAAATTTCTTCTTTATATTAAAGAATGTCTGGTGGTTTTGAACTGCTGACCTTGAGATTAGCAGAGCAGTGTGTAACCTGCTACACCACCAGGGCTCTTGTTACTTAATAATAGAGTAAATATTTGTATCTCTGCTTATAAATAGCTATTTGACTTCTATTAAGATACATAGATTTCTAAGGTCTGTTGATTCATAAGTTGATTTCTGAACTAGAGGGAGATTGTTACCATACAATAACTTAAGGGAATAAGCTTTACATTTATATCTAACTACTGGCTACTTTGTGTAGAAGTGGTTTTTGTTTTGTTTTTTACTCATTTTATTGGAGCTCTTACAGCTCATCACAATCCACACACACATCAATTGTGTAAAGCACACTTATACATTCGTTGCCCTCCTCATTCTCAAAACTTGCTTTCTGCTTGGGCTCCTGGAATCAGTGCCTCATCTCCCGCCCCCCCCTTCTGTTCCCGCTTCGTGTAGAAGTGGTTTTAGTGATTAGCCTGGTGGTCTAGTGGTTTAGGTGATGTGGCAAATATTTTAATGTGTTTGCCCTATGTTACATTGAAAGGGCAAAGGAATTTATTGCTTATTTAGCCAGCATTTTGGTGGATTAATTTTCTGAGACAGATTACATATTTATAGGAATAGAATTAATTAATCTTTATTCATTTTAATTAAATTAATATATATCACCACTGTTCTTGAATTAATGGTAAAATTATGAACAAATGTTATTTAGCTTTGCATCTATCCAATTGTGTATTTAAAAGAAATTTATCCTGTAGTGTCATTCACGCTCTTCAAAAAGAGAACACATTTTATCATTTTGGTCTATAATGTTTTGTGTAAAGTACTCATGTTCTGTGTTTCAGTGATTGATGATTTTGTTCTTTGAGTTAATCATTCCAGGAACAAGTGGCTACCATAGAGTCAAGTGTTTTCAGTGTTCTCAGCACAGCCATATGCAAGGCTCAATATTTATGGCAACTTGGTATTAACTTTTTCTCCTGTTTTCTATTTTTAGGAGAAAGCAATTCAGCAATTTCTACAGAAGACCTAAAAGAATGTTTGAAGAAACAGTTGGAATTCTGTTTTTCACGGTATACTTTTTTTTGAAATGGATCTTTTCTTTTTTGAATTGTTTGGTCAGTTAGACAAAATATATCCATGAAATGGATTGGGAAAATGGTGATTATCATTTTGTCTGGTGATGTATTTTGGTATTATTTCTTAACTAAATAAAAAGGGACTTCAAAAAGTTCATGAAAAAATTCCAATATTTGCCCCCCTTCCTTCCCCTCCTGCCCCTAAACTATCATGATCCCAGTTCTACCTTACAAATCTGGCTAGACCAGAGGATGTGCCCTGGTACAGATAGGAACTGGAAACACAGGGAATCCAGGGTGGATGATCCCGTCAGGACCAGTGCTGAGAGTGGCGTTACCGGGAGGGTGGGGTGGAAAGGGGGAACCATTTACAGATTCTCCCTGGGGGGTGGACAACAGATAAGTGGGTGAAGGGAGACGTCGGACAGTGTAAGATACGACCTAATAATAATAATAACTTATAAATTATCAAGGGTTCATGAGGGAGGGAGCAGCGAGGAGGGAGGGGGGAAAATGAGCTGATACCAAGGGTTCAAGCAGAAAGTAAATACTTTGAGAATGATGATGGCAACAGATGTAAAAATGTGCTTGACAAATTGGATGGATGTATGGATTGTGATAAGAGTTGTATGAGCCCCCAATATAATGATTTTTTTAAAAAGAAAAAAAATTCCAATAACTTTGAATTAACATTTTCCCACAAACCCTATGTCTATATATTTAACTGTGTAGTCTTCAAATATATATATTCTAGTAGAAAGATGTTGAATTTTCTGTGGGATATTCTCCCTATTACTTTAGACAGTTTTAGGTAAGGGTTTTGACACAACTACAGAAAGTCAGAATTGATTCCGGCTAAAACTTTTTGTGTAAATACTTCTTTTACTTTCTGGTTCTGAGTCACTCTCTTTGGGCACATATTAACATATCTCTTTCATGTTGGTGAGTTCTAACCTTGCCCTCTCAACCCCCCAAAACAAAAACCCCACATGTTGACATTAGTAAAACAAACTCACTGCTGACGAGTTGATGCCATAGGACAGGGTAGAACTGTCTTTGTGAGTTTCTGAGGCTGGAACTGTTGATGGGAGGTGAAAGCCCCATTTTTCCTCTCTGAACAGCTTGAGGTTTTGATCTGCTGATTACATCCCAACTTAGAATCACTACACCACCAGAACAACTTGGCATTAGAGTTGGGGGTAGAGAGGAGGGGACATGCTTACTTTCAGTATAATTTGAATGTAAACACTTTTGTGCCTACTCTTTGCCAAGCACTAGGCCTTTAAAATTAATCCTTAGACATGGATTAACACAGTGGCTGCAACAATGGGCTCAAACATAGCAAGAACTGTGAGGATGGAGCAGGACCTCCGAAGGTGTCATCAGTTAGGTTAACTGATGCGCGTCTCAATTGGCACGTCTGTGATCACTAAGAGTTGAATTGATTTGACAGCAGCTAACAAAACAGGCCTTTGAAATGCATCATTGAACAAAACAAAAATTTATTGTGGAACCTATATTCAGGTTGAGGGGGGAAAAAAACAGTAATAGTAAATAAGTGTTAGGAGGTAAGTGCTGTGGAACATTTAATAGAGTAAGCAAATAAGAGAACGCAAACTAGAAGTTCCTAGGTGGTTAAAAGTGAAGAAATTCCACTGTCCTTTGTTTCCATTTTCCCACTAACTTTTTGAAACTCCCTTGTATGTTGGTGAAAGTAGGTCTTATTGAGAAGGCAGCTTTTTTGGCGGGTGGGTGGTGGGTGGGTAACTTAAGGTAAGGGTTCCAGAAAATTTTTGATATGAATAACAGAATGGGAGTATACTTTTACAGCATGCTTTAAATGTTGCGACTTTATTTACATAATTCGATAAGATTTCCTTTTCCAAAAATTATTGATCCAGATACATTTAGTGATTCAGAAATATTCCAAATGTTCTTAGACTATTAAACAACTCATTTATTTTTAATTGAACATTTCTTGTAACATAATTTTGTTTTTTATGGACTTTGTTATACTCGTGATGAAGGCACTTCTTTTGTTATTTTTTAAGTTGCTTGTTTTAGAAGACTGTTCTTTTTTAAAAATCGTTTTATTAGGAGCTCATACGACTCCTATCACAACCCATACATACATCAACTGTATAAAGCACATTAGTACACTCATTGCCCTCATCGTTCTCAATAAGACTGTTCTATCTTGTTTATTTCTTTTAGGGAAAATTTGTCAAAGGATCTTTATTTGATATCACAAATGGACAGTGATCAGTTCATCCCAATTTGGACAGTTGCCAACATGGAACAGATAAAAAAGCTGACCACAGACCTTGATCTCATTCTTGAAGTATTAAGATGTATGTAAAATAAGCCTTTTACCTGCTTTGAAATATTAGACATTAAGCATTTCTTATCATGCATGGAATTGTTTTAACTGCCTATTTGTGTTTGCTACTCTGCTGTAATTATCAAGCCTACCCTTTGGATATTGATCCTAATTCCCACTTATTAGTACTAATACTCATTGTTACTGATTACTTTATGACTCATAATGACCCTATAGGACAGGGTAGAATTACTTCTGGATTTCCAAGACCTGAACTCTTTACTAAATAGAAAGCCTCATCTTTGTCTCAGGGAGTGCCACTTAGCTTCGAAATGCTGACCTTGTGAATCACTAAATCGCCAACATATATAATCAAATCTTAGTTTCCTGGGATATTAGAAAGGCTTGTGTGTCATTTTTACACACATCTATTTCAAACGTTTAAATTAAGAATTGCTGTATTCATCAATTTAGGAAAATTTTTTCGTTTGTGCAGAAATCGTTTCTTAAAATGATGCGGTCTAGTCAACATAAAAATTGACAAACACAGAAAATTCCCCATCTCTTTAGTTTGGGAACCAAAGCTTTCCTCCCCTGACTGCTGCTTTTATTATTTTTATCTGTATAGTCAGATAGATTTTTATAGTGCTGCTTCTCTGAAAACAATCTACTGCTTTGAGTAGATTCTGTCTCATAGCAGCACTGTACAGAACAGCATAGAATCTTATTAATCTGTAAGGGAACAGATAGTGTCATCTTTCTCCTACAATGCCTAGTGTAGAGGTCCTCAAACTTTTTAAACAGGTGGCCAGTTCACTGTCCCTCAGACCCGTTGGAGGACTGGGCTATAGTTTTTTAAAAAACTATGAACAAATTCTTATGCACACTGCATATATCTTATTTTGAAGTAAAAAAAATAAGCTGGGCAAAAACACCCGGTGGGCTGGATAAATGTCCTCGGCGGTCCGCATGTGGCCCGCAGGCCATAGTTTGAGGACGCCTGGTCTAGTGGGTACGAACTGCTGATTGTGGTTAGTAGTTCAACATTTAACCCACTGTACAACCAAGGCTTGTAATGAAAGTTTTGACTTTATGGTAGATGTTTTAATGATCTGGGTAGATCATTTATGTACAGTCATTTGACTAAGGACTTTTTCACATTTTAATCTCTGGCTCCTTCCTCCAAAGTCGTATTTGGTTAATGTAAATATGACATCTCTAAGATGAACAGTTTGGTTATTTACAGAGACATTGTCTTATTCAATGTAAACATTGTATGCTCCCTGAAGGCTTCTCTTTGACCTCAACACAGTGCCAAGGCACAAACTAGATAGTGTGAATACAGGTTCATTGAACAAACATTTGGTAATGTTCTTTGCAAATAAGTCTTGAAAAGATGATCTTATCTGAACCGTAATCTTGGGTAGTTTATTCAGAAGTAGAGTTTTAATGACTTTAGTTAGATTTCATTTTGTCACTTTGACATGAAATCCTTTCATTTCAGCTTCCCCCATGGTTCAAGTTGATGAGAAGGGTGAGAAAGTGAGACCCAGTCATAAACGTTGTATTGTTATTCTTAGAGAAGTTCCTGAAACAACACCAATTGAAGTAAGTTACTAAGCGTTATTAAAGCTAAACTGTTTAAATTGGAACAGAAATGCAAATCTGCATTTCAGTTGCTTTGAATAGGATATTTAATAATCATTAGACTTTATTATTTTATAAACATGATATTTTATAAATAGAATATTTATTTTGTTTAATAATCATTAGAGTTTCACACTAAGATGAAATGTTAAGCGTCAGAATTTTTATTGTTGCATTTTCTTTGAATTTAAATAGATGTTAGAATTGACTTTGGAACTATAAAATCTAGTCTTGAGTTTCACTTTGTTTTAGTATAAGTGAATCAGATTAAACCATCATTTCTTTAGCTATAAAATGAAAATGGTGAAATTTTCCATCCAAGTAAGTCAGTGTCTGATCCCTGATGATATTTCAATGTGTTTGTTTTCTATAACTTTTTAGGCATGCTCAACCACTAATAGTTATTTTTAGTTGATCTTTTTTTATAAACTAGCTGTTATTGGTTGTTTTAAGATTTTTTTTTTTTAAGGGAAGATATTTTTGGACACATTTCATGTCTGACTGAAGTAGGGAAAGCATTCAGATCAAATGACAATGCATGGAATACTTAGGGTCCAGAAAATGTTAGTAGAGAGTGTATCATTTCTTGTGGATAATGGCGGGAAAAGGATTGAGAGCTTTTGCTATAAGGAAACATAGCTTACCACCATGAGCAAAATGATTCGGCTGTACTGTTCCAACCCGAAGCCATATGCAGAATTTATATTATCGCTGTGCATGCTTCTATTTCAGAACATAAGCTAACATTGCTAGAAAAATGCGCTGAAGTCATAAACAATTAACCAAGGGAGAAATTTTAGAGACATGAAGATATGCTCAGTTTTTTCAGTAAGCAGAAACACCATGATTGTCTTTTTTAAAGGTTAACTAAGGTTTATTTTTTCTTTTTAGGAAGTGAAAGCTTTGTTCAAAAATGAAAACTGCCCCAAAGTGATAAGCTGTGAATTTGCGCACAACAGTAACTGGTATATCACGTTCCAGTCCGACACAGATGCGCAGCAGGTGGGCGACAGAAAAAGACACAGTCCTCTCCAGTTACGTCCTAGTAATAGAAGGAACAGTACGCTTTAGACGAGGAAATGTGTGCTTACAGTGTTGTTGTAAAGACTTTTGAGAACTTCAGGCACTGTTTCATTTTAGATTAACTAATTCCTCTCCTGTAAAGCTTTTTTGACTTCAATTTAAGAATCTTTTGTTACCTCAAATCTCTGATAAAATTTTTAAAATTTCAGATCCTGTTTAGACTCTTGTACATTTTATGTGCACAGTAAAAACATGGTAGCTAATGTAAAATAAATGGGAATTATAGCTGAAGGGCTCTTAAATTTTGGCAGCCTTGCTGTCTATCACCTGCATAATAGAATTTTGGAATTTTGAATTTTTTCCCCCAATTGTTTAAGATTAATCTTGCTAGGTTAAAGATCGTTTCCTTGAAATGTTTGCATACCAATAAAATTTCCTTTTTTCCTTTTTTCAGGCTTTTAGATATTTAAGAGAAGAAGTAAAAACATTTCAGGGCAAGCCAATTATGGTAAGAAACTTAAAAACTAGAAGCCAGTGTGAAAAAGTCTTGTGGTTCTTCTGTTCTATAAAAATTAAAAAGCACAATATTTTAAAATCCGTAAGCATGTTAAAGAAATTTCTGGCTCCTGCGGTGTGCTACCTTAGAAAATGTGTTGATGAGTAACAAAATGCTCTGTCCACTCACAGAGCTTTCATTCAGTATTATTTTAATCATCTATATAGTATTTCTCATTTTGTTAAATTACTCTTATTTTTTCATATTCACAAATATGAAATAGTTTACCAGAAACAGCCTGTATGGCTCTGAACATTATGCTGTTTTTGTAAATATGTGCAAACATACTTTTAGGATAAAATTCCTGAAAGTGAAACATCTGAAAATATAATATATACACCTGTTTAATAGGCACAACCATTGAACCCTCACATCAGGGTTTTAAATAAAAATTTAAAGGCTATTGATTGATTTTGATTTTTTTTCGTACTGATAATTTGTGTTCTAAGAGGAGAGAAGTCATGTTGAATATTAGTATTACTTTGGTGATATTTCTGCAGAAATTTGTTTTCTCTGTAGCAAGATTATGAGATTGATAAATCCTGAGTGAACCTTAAGATGTTCTGAGTGAAATAAACTAATTTCAAAAGACTAGATGCTATATCTAGCATTTATCTCACTCACATGAAATAAGCAAATATGTAGAAACTAAAGATGATGATGTTTGAAGGGAGAGTTTTGCTTAGAAGGCACTGAGGTTATGTTAATATGTTAGAGTGATTTGGAAAAGGGTAACTGGAATGACTATACAACTTTGAGATTATGTAATCTGTGTTACTGAATTGTACATGTAGAAATTGTTGAGAGTATGTGTTTTGTTATGTATATTTTCCTCATACAAAATTGAGAACAGTTATTTCTTGACCATCATCAAATACTTATTCACTACTTACATTTTCCTGTTTTTATCACCTTTCTTTTATTTAAATTTATCATTCCTTCTTCCTCTTTAGTTTCCACCTCTCCCCTTGCAAGTATACCTTGGCAAACCAAAAATTAGTTACTGGGGATTTGGTTCAACAAGGTTATTTCAAATAATGCATGCTTAAAGGTCTCTGGAGTCCGTGAGTGGCTGCAGACAAGTTCTTGCAACAAGATGCATATTTTCATCTCATTCGATTGCCTTCAAAAAGGACTTAAAAAAAAAAAAAAAGAACTTTTTAGTTGAGTTGGATCAGATACAGTGCTTCCTTGTCAGTGAAAAGTCATCATTATTTAATACTTCAGCTCTGCTAATTTTACTTTGTACTGTGGTTTTTGCCATGCAAGAGCCTTCTTTAAAAAAAAAAACCACTACCAGTTATTTTATTTCTGCTTATTCTACATTATGAAGAAATAGTTATGTAATTCCTGTAAAAAGTATGAGAAATATTTGTAAATGTGTACACAGACTTTTTGTTATACTCTTCCTTCTAGGCACGGATAAAAGCCATCAATACATTTTTTGCTAAGAATGGTTATCGGTTAATGGATTCTAGCATGTATAATCAGCCCATTCAACCTCAAACACAGTATGCACCAGTCTTTATGCAGCCTGTATATAATCCTCACCAATATTCGGTCTATAGTCTTGTGCCTCAGCCGTGGTCTCCAAATCCTGCACCTTATTTTGAAACACCACTGGTAAGTAAGATCCTTCAAAAATAGTAACAATTTCAATATCAGCTGAAATTTGAAGGAATCACTGGGTTCTTTTATTTATTTTTGCTTTGATTTACATTGGTAGTCATTACTTTCTGGCCTTTAAATAGTGATGTGGGTATATTATCCCCCATCAGACACATGCCTATAGTTGAATGGGTCTCTATCATTTTATGCTCTAAAATTTGTCAAGTGAATTGAAAGAAAAGACTAGACAAACCCTGGAAAAATCTAAGATGCTCTTAGTATTGTGATGCATTTTCAAAGAGACCTGTTTCTCATGAGTAAACAATGATGCAGTGGTGTTTGAAGCAATATTTATTGTAAGAGTGAACAATACACAAATTGTTGAACTTGCTAACTTGGGAGAAAAATTGATGCTAGTTTATTAGCTCATTAGAATCTTTATGATTCTCACACCAAATAACTGCTTTTGCCATTCATACTGTTCAAACTTTAAAATTTTCTTCTAGGCTCCCTTTCCCAATGGTAGTTTTGTGAATAGCTTTAATTCACCGGGATCTTATAAAACAAATGCTGCTGCTATGAGTTTGGGTCGACCATTCCCCAAAAATCGGTAAGATAAAAAGTCTTAGCTAGAGTTTTATTTTGAAGATTCACAATGGTTCCTAAAGAGTTAATGTGTTGATAGCACAATATTTGTTTGTAGGTCAGTAGGAAATAGTTTTGTGGTAGTTCAAAAGGCTATGATTGATGGAGTCGAGAATTCATAAGCACATTAGCCTTAATGTTAACATTAAGTGTAAGAGGAATTGGGACTCTGTTATAACTATTGACCTTTATTGAATAGTAATAATAAAGTAGAAGAAAAAACTCTGTTAGCCATCCCATCAAATCTGATAACCAACAGCTAGTTAGTGCTAAATGGGCAATATTTGGAGAATGAGAGTTCTTTGGGCACAGAAATGGTGTTAATTGAACTGAATAGTATATTCTTTTCTTTTTTTAAAAACATTTTATTAGGGGCTCATACAACTCATCACAATCCAAGTAAATTGCTTTTTTACTTGGATACAATTTCACCATATACACTCAATCTTGATGCTTTATGAAGTTTGAAGTAAAATCTCTTGCTATTAAATCAAATGTCATATTATTAAACAGAAAGAGTCTTTATAGGCTAAAAAAAGTGTCCTTTTAGAAGGTTAGTAGATATTAATAGAAGTGACCTTTTGCTCTACCCCTACCTTGTCATTTAAAAAAAATCGCTTAATTTTCATGAGAACATAGAGATACTAGTGTTTACAACTGGAAGGACCCTTGTTTTGGTGTAGTTTTAGAGATGAGGAAAGTGAAGTCAGAGAAGATCTGTTGATTTTATATACATTTCTTTAAAGTGGGAATTTTGCTTTAAACACTTAAGTGGAATGGGTTTCTTTGGTATGGAGTAGACTAGAACATATTAGAGGGGTTTATGAATATTCGTTTTGTCTCTTCTTTCTTGCTGGAAGGGTCATAGTACTAGGAAAGCCAGGAATAGCAGTTAAGTCATCTCTGCTTTTAAGTAGATAAACCTTTAGCTTCCAAGAGATAGAACCAGTTTAGTATAGTTATCTGTCTTCAAACCATTTATATACAGTTCTCCAAATGTCTGTCCATCTAGATCATCACTTCCAATTATTTTGTGACAGCCCAATGATGATCACCAATCTCCTTAGAGAGAACAGGACTAACTTTCAAAAGTCTGGGCATTTTTCTCTCTTATCTTTCTACCACTTTACTTCTTCTTTCTGTCTTTTACCAGTTCTTTCTTTTTTCTTCTTTTGCCTGGACTGAGATTGTAAGTCCTCTCAATGAAGGGTTAAGATTATGAGATCTGAGGGCTGTTTAACTCTTAGTAGCTTGTAAGTTTTCAGGTATATGGTAATTTCTGAACGGATATGTCACCAACATATCTATTATTTTGAGATGGATAATATAAATACTTTGAAAATTTGCTTTGTGATAGATAAAATGGTGTAATTTTGTTGCTACTAAAAATCTACTTTATGATGTAAAATAATTGTCTGGGAATGTATTGTTGTATATGAATCTCAGCCCAAATCTGTAGCCTGAATTTTTCTGTAGTTTTAGAAGTAGCAGTCCAGAACATAAAAGTACTAGGAAAGGCAGAAATACAAAGTTCAGAAGCTTAAGATCTTTAAAAAAAGTCTCTCTCCAAACATAGCATTTTTCAACGTTGAAACAAACAAATGATACCTTGATCATAAAAGTTATACTATATCTCCCAATTTGATTTTATATTTAACTTGGCTTGTGTAGCAGAAGGTGACTTTAAAATTGAATTATTAAAGAGTTTCTACCATTAAGCAGAAAAGTTTTCCCGATGTCTTGACTTAACCTTTCTTGTATGTAATAACCCTATATTTCTTACAGTGTGAAGCCTCATTTTAGGCCATCCAGTGGTTCCGAACACTTAACAGAAGGCTGTGTATCATTGGGAGAGGGACCCTTGAATAGATCTAATTCAAGAAACTTCCCAAATGAACGGCATAGCCTAACAGTCACCGGATACCAGGAGCAAACTTTCCTTCCAAAAGATTCTCCCAGTTTGCAAATGGAACAGAATGGAGACTATGGTAGGGGCAGGTAAGGATATTCGATTATATACAAAGTTCTTTGATTATAATGTGATCATCCTGAATATTTGAATACCATGATTTGGCTGACTTTTGGTTTTGTTTTTTAACTTAATTAATGGTGCATGGAAATGCTAAATATTAATAGACAGACAGTACACATAGAGTACATCTCTGAATCAGAGGTAGCCCATGTACATTATTGTTAAATATCTTCTAATTTCTAAACGATGGGCATGGGATTGCATATTGCCCAGCCTTCCAAAATAGTGTGCTCCTACAGTGACAGGAGCACACTACCAATAAAAAAATGGTCCAGTTTATCTGGTAGTGGTGAATATGGGTAAAATGCTTGACAGATTAGCTTGGGATCTCTCCAAAAGAACTTATGTAGTATTTATCTTTTAATAGTCATAGAATAGTCAAATCCAAGAGCGTGACTTTTTTTTTTACGTCATTTTATTAGGGGGCTCATACAACTCTTATCACAATCCATACATACATTAATTGTGTAAAGCACATTTGTACATTCATTGCCCTCATCATTCTCAAAACATTTGCTCTCTACCTAAGCCCCTGGCATCAGGTCCCCATTTTTTACCCTCTCTCCCCGCTTCCCCCTCCCTCATGAACCCTTGCTAATTTTTAAATTATCATATTGTCATATCTTTCCCTGTCGACGTCTCCCTTCACCCACTTTTCTGTTGTCTGTCCCCCAGGGAGGAGGTCACATGTAGATCCTTGTAATTGGTTCCCCCTTTCCAACCCATCCTCCCTCCACCTTCCCAGTATCGCCACTCACACCACTGGTCCTTAAGGGATCATCCGCCCTGGATTCCCTGTGTTTCCAGTTCCTATCTGTACCAGTGTACATCCTGGTCTAGCCGTATTTGTAAGGTAGAATTGGGATCATGATAGTGGGGGTGGGGCTAGAGGGGGAGGAAGCATTTAGGAACTAGAGGAAAGTTGTATGTTTCATCGTTGCTACATCGCACCCTGATTGGCTCCTCCCCTCCCTGAGACCCTTTTGTAAAGGGATGTCCAGTGGCCTACAAATGGGCTTTGGGTCTCCACTCTGCACTCCCCCCATCATTCACAACGACATGATTTTTTGTTCTTTGATGCCTGATAACTGATCCCATTCAACACCTTGTGATCACACAGGCTGGTGTGCTTCTTCCATGTGGGCTTTGTTGCTTCTGAGCTAGATGGCTGCTGTTTACCTTCAAGCCTTTAAGACCCCAGATGCTATATCTTTTGATAAATGGGCACCATCAGCTTTCTTCACATTTGCTTATGCACCCGCTTTGGCTTCATTGATTGTGTCGGGAAGATGAGCATCATAGAAGAGCATGAAATTTTAAGCATGAAATAGAAAGCTTCAAACTCAAGTATGGGATGCCACGATGTAGTTTTATTTAGTGCCTTTGATAGAAGGGTGTAAGTTTGAAAGAAGTTCTAGTTGTTCCCCTCCCCTTTGTTTCATTTTGTTAAAAGGCGAACTCTTTTCAGAGGTCGAAGACGACGGGAAGATGACAGGATCCCAGTAAGTATTTGTGTTTTTTTTTACCTTTAATTATATATCTCTTCTGGTTTTTCTTTCGTTTGTAATTTGCTCTGGAATTTACTTTTAGTCTGTCTTTCCAAATGCTGGGTCTTTTTGTTTGTTTATAGTGTTTGAAGAGGTTATAGTATAAGCTTTACCCCCAAATATCTATTACTAACACACCTACCCACTTGAAAGCTAGAGTTATTTGAATATCCAAGTGTGCCTTAGGAATCATTCTGAGATCAGTATTTATATCCATTTTTTATAGTTTTATATTTTATATTTTTAATGATACTAATTTACTAATAACTAAACATTGAAGTATTTTCAATTTTTTATTGTTCAGAGGCAGAGACGGTGTTAAACCTCATGAAATTTCCCATGTGTGCAATTATATCTGAAGAATGACCAGAAGTAGGGTTACGTAACAACAACAAAAACCACCAAACCATTGCCATCAAGTTATTTCAGCTCATTGTGAGCCCCATAGGACAGAGTAGACTGTCACAACTTTCTTCCATGAAACAGCTCATGGATTTGAACTGCTGACCTCTAGGTTAACAGATTTGGTCTGTGTTTAACCTGCTAGCTTCCTTGCCAGTCAACAGGAAGAGGTCCATAATTGTTGCCATTCCAATGGAATATGGAAGTTATCAAAAAATACCATTAATATCATATGCAAGTAAAATTTTGCTACAGATACTTTACAGATGGCTGCAACAATACAGGCAGCATCTAAAAATTCAAGCAGATTCAGAAGAGGATATGGAACAAGGGAAAACATTGGTGATGTCCTGGGGAATATCAAAAAGATGTTTACCTGGTAAAGAACACTAGGGTAAACTCATAGAACCCTGTGTATAGACCAAGAGACACCCATTTTCAAACAGTACTTAAAACTGAGGACATGTGTGCGTTTCAGTTTTGTCCATTCTTCATGCTTATTCAGTCTGTGTTCTTAGCAAATAATCCGAGAACCTAGAGTAGTATCCGAAAAAGAGCATGGCTTTCGGAATGAAAGAAGGATCCATTAATAAACTTTGATAGGCAGATACCACAACTTTTCTTCCTGAGATCAAAGAGGGCTTGAAGTACTACTTACTGTTAAAGATAGAAGACTAAAGCCTTCATTATGGATTATACCCCAATGTAATGAAGACAGAACCCACAAAAAATTAACCTGTAAGCAACATCAGATAAACAGAGATAAAGATTGAAGTTGCCAAAGATTTCATTTTACTTGGATCCTTGTGAACAACCATGAAAGCAGCATCCAGGAAATTAAATAACATGTTGCACCGGACAAATCTGTTGCACAAAATCTCTCTAACGTGTTCAGAAGCATAGGTATCACTTTAAAGATTGAGATACACCTGACCCCAATCCATTGGTTTGTCACTTGCCTTGATGCATGTGAAAGCTAGTGCATGAATCAGGAAGACTGAAGAGAAGGCAACACATTCTAATTACTGTTTTGGTGTAGAATATTAAATAAACTACGTGCCAGGACAGCCAAGTCTGTCTTGGAGGAAATGTTTGTTGTTGTTGTTCAGTGCCATCGAGTTGGTTCTGACTCATAGCAACCCTGTGCACAACAGGACAATAAGCACTGCAAGGCCTTGCCCTTTCCATGAAATTGTTCCTGTGCCCAAGCCCATTGTTGCAACCATGGTGTCAACAAGAGCACCCCACGTAAATGTTGGTGTTGATCATATGCTATACCAAGGGCTGGCGCAAGACTGTAATGACAGTTTTTAGTAATCCACTGTAGCAGTCTACAATAGCCCTCAAGTGGCCATAAGCACTTGGGGAGAGGGAAGGTTAGATTTGGGGATTCTTTAATATATTAAAAGTCTACGAATTGAGATTATACTTTGGGTGAAGAAAAAGGAGGCCAGCATGCTGTCTGACAGGAAGTGCTGGTTGGGTAGTCCCCTTTATATGAAAGAGACCTTTGGACTTAGTGTCCTATATAATCATGCATAAGGAACCCTGATTCTGCTGTAGGTTGGGCATTAGGTGGTTCGAATCCACCACCTGCTCCATAGGAGAAAAATAATACTGCATATTCCCATAAAGGTTTATAGTCTTAGAAACCCAAAGTTGAGTTGCTGTTTGTCTGAGTTGATTCAATAAGCAATGAATTGGGTGTTTGGGTTTATGCTAATAATTAAATCTTAAGAGTAGGTGAGCAAAAAGAAAAAGAGTAGGTGAGCTTATGCAGGACTCTTTAGAATAAGCGACAGGGCTAACCTTGGAACCTTGAGCAGATCAGCTTTGGGCTGAAAAATGAGAATGCTCAGCATGTTTGCATTATCCAAGAGAAATCTTAAGGCAAATGGATTTCAGGTAAAGGTCTGGACAGAAAATATTGTTAATACTCCAAAAGCAAAAATAATAATAATTGTTTTTAGGGTTATTTTAATGAAGACAGTAAGTGAAGGTATGGGTAGTGGGTTTCATCCATGGAGAATATGGAAAGTCAAAGGAGCAGTAACCAAGTGGAGGCCAGAACCATCAAAACGAAAGAAGCGTGCTAGGGGGAAAGTCTCACTCTCCTCTGTGTACCCTGTTGGTGACTTCCCAAAGTAGCCGTAGGGGAGCACTGAGCACAGAGAAGGAAGTAGAAGGACCCGTGTGAGACTGCTCAGTAGATGTGTTGGGGAGGAGGAGGAAAGGAAAGATGGAGTTCTCGGACATGTTATGAAAAAGAGGAAGAGTACTGAGACTAAAGAAGGAGAAGCGGTAACAGACATTTGGGTGAGGAGGAGGGTCCTATTTTTCTTAGGGATAGTGATAGCAAAGTTTGGCATCTAAGAAGAGTGGAGATTGTCCTGAAGACTTGAGAATGATAAGATTTGCAAAGGAACAAGAGAGGGGCCCTGAATACAGGTGGCATCTAGGAATGCTGAGTGAGAGAATGCTGTGCGTTTATGGTGCGGTTTCTTTTGTACAGCTTCCCATGTGTGGTAGAGTGAGAGAGGCATGCGCTCTGTTTTGTGATTTGTGTTTTAGAGACCTCATCCTTCCACAGCTGAAGCAAAGACTCCAACACCAAAGTTTGACCTATTAGCCTCAAATTTTCCTCCTTTACCTGGAAGTTCATCGAGAACACCCGGTGAACTCTCTTTAGAGAGTAGGCTGTCTGATGTTGTTAAAGGTGTCTTCAAAGAAAAGGTAGGTAGAGAAGAGTTTGAAATGGTTACTCTAATCGCTTACCTTCACCCACTGCCAAAGAGTTGATTCTATCTCATAGCAACCCTAATATAGAAAGGACATAGTAAAAAAAAAAGATAATAATGCTTTTTTTAAAAAAAAAAGAAAGGACATAGTAGAACTACTCCATAGGATTCCAAGACTATAATCCTTATGGAAGCTCCTTCCACAGAGCAAGTGGTGGATTGACATGCAGACTTTAACCACTACACTGCCAAGGATTCTTGTTCTCTCACTTTATGGCAGTGGCTCTCAACCTTCCTAATGCTGTAACCCTTTCGTATAGCTCCTCATGTTGTGACCGCCAACCATAGAATTATTTTCGTTGCTACTTCATAACTGTAGTATTGCTACTGTTATGAATCGGGTGACTGCTGTGAAAGGGTTGTTTGACCCCCAAAAGGGTTGCAACCCACAGGTTGAGACCCGCTGTTTTATGGGAACCTGTTTAAGTATACACACACACACACACACACACACACAGTTAATAGTTTAACTTATTGTCATTTTAATGTGTATTTCACTGTTTTTATTCATGAGGCTTTCTGTATGTTTTGAATATTGTGAAAAATGTGTGATAAAGATGTATTGCATCAATGAGATGTCAGCTCAGCTTTATAAAACTGCTGAATGCAACCTTAAGAAAGGCTTCATTTTTATAATCACCAAAAGATATAAATGAATTTAAACTACTTTGGTGTACTCAATATTCAAAATAATGGATAATAGATGTCAGAAAGGCTGACTTTTTGAGTTCAGACCTTTCCACACGCTGAATCTTCATGTCCCATAAGTTTTCTCATCTTTAACCTTTTATTCTAATGGTGTTTTATTCTAATTGTTTTTATTATAAGAGTATCTTAAAAAAAAAAAGAGTATCTTGTGTATTTAAGTTTGTACAAAACAGCAGCCATTTGCAACTCTTGTAACATTTTCGTTGGAATTGTATACATTTATTTGTGATTTGAGCATTTCTAAGTTTTGTGTAAGTTTGGATAAGCATTGTGTAAGTTTCTGTGTTGGCACACACACATATCAATCATTTTATTGGGGGCTCATACAACTCTTATCACAATCCATACATACATCAGTTGTGTAAAGCACATTTGTACATTCATTGCCCTCATCATTCTGAAAGCATTTGCTCTCCACCTAAGCCCCCGGCATCAGGTCCTTATTTTTTTCCCTCCCTACCCGCTCCCCCCTCCCTCTTGAACCCCTGATAATTTATAAATTATTGTTTTGTCATATCTTGCCCTGTTCGACGTCTTCCTTCACCCACTTTTCTATTTTCCGTCCCCCACGGAGGAGGTCACATGTAACTCCTTGTAATTGGTTCCCCCTTTCCAACCCACCCTCCCTACGTATATCTTCCCAGTATCGCCACTCACACCATTGGTCCTGAAGGGATCATCCGCCCTGGATTCCCTGTGTTTCCAGTTCCTATCTGTACCAGTGTACATTCTCTGGTCTAGCCATATTTGTAAGGTAGGATTCGGATCATGATGGGGGAGGGAGCATTTAGGAACCAGAAGAAAGTTGTATTTTTCATCATTGTTACATCGCACCCTGACTGACTCGTCTCCTCCCCGAGACCCCTCTGCAAGGGGATATCCAGTGGCCTACAAATGGGCTCTGAGTTTCCACTCCACGCCGCCCCCCCTCCCATTCACAATGACATGATTTTTTTGTTCTGATGATGCCTGATCCCTGCTCCCTCATGATCGCACAGGCTGGTGTGCTTCTTCCATGTGGGCTCTGTTGCTTCTGAGCTAGATAGCCGCTTGTTTACTTTCAAGCCTTTAAGACCCTAGACGCTGTATCTTTTCATAGTCAGGCACCATCAGCTTTCTTCACCACATTTGCTTATTTACCCCCTTTGTCTTCAGTGGTTGTGTCAGGAAGGTGAGCATCATAGAATGCCAATTTAATAGAAGAAAGTATTCTTGCATCGAGGGAGTACACTCATACAACTCTTATCACAATCCACACATACATCCATCGTGTCAAGCACATTTGTACATTTGTTGCCATCATAATTCTCAAAACATTTGCTTTCTACTTGAGCCCTTGGTATCAG